TATATAGTTATTGTAGTTTTCCTGAAGGTCAGCATTTGTTTCTTGTTGGGTTTTGTGCCAGTTTGGGGTGTGACCTCTTAACTAGTGAATGGATTTCTGTTTGACATTCACTACTGAGTAAATCTTTGCAATTTAAGCCACTTAATACCAGCACATGCATCTCTGACATGGAGTCCGTTCTTACCTTCACTTTATGATGGGAAGCCTAATAATATGTGCCAATGTTATGGGCCAGGCTATAAGGGCAACCCGGATGTGGTTTTAACAGTTTTTACCTTTAAATATCCTAATATGTTCAGGCTTGCTGCTGTTCCTTGAAGAGACAGTTATGGGTCCTGTGGGGAGCAGTCACTGGTCAGTTGGCTAAATAAAGACTCTTCAATTTGGACAAAACTGGGACTTGGTGTTTTCTGAGCAACCTTCCTCCTAACAGTGATAACAGCTGGATAAAGGCCTACCTCTTTCCTGAAAGGTTTCTCAGAAGCCATAGATTTTTCAGGACAGAAAGTACCTTTAATAATCCAAACACCCAAGGCATCAATGTCCAAGTAGATTCCATAACATGTCTGAGAGGTACTTTTTCAGTTATGCTGATACTCTTAAAGTGACAGATGACACTATTGCCTAAGATATAGCTKCGAATTCAGGACATGTTTGATCATTAGCAACTTCTTATACTGAGCTGAGAGACCACTTCCTGGAACTTTGAACCACTGGCCTCTTGGGTGCAAGTATTTTGCAGTTTATTCAACAGGATCTATCTGAAGATGGCAATAAGAGCATTTAAATATTTTTTTTTTCCTGGAGAAAATTTAAAAAAAAAAGAAAAGAAAAAGCCCAAGTTCTTTATCTTTCCCTAATCATTCCTAATTTTGTTGCTCTACACTCTTGGCTTACACTGGATCACTGGAAAACATTAACCTTTGCTTCCTGCCACCTCCTGGTTTCTACACCTGACATACTGGCTCTTCTAGTTCTTACTCTAATTACATCCATTCTACTGCTGTCCAACTAGCTTAAAGTTATAAATTTCTGTGTCACTTTAACTTGTCATTCATGAAAGAAGCTAAGATTAAGAATCTGATAAAATTAGATTTTCAAATAGTTGGTCATTACTAAGTAACTAATCTCTCCTTGGCCAGGTTAATAATTACTTTWTATATCTGTTAACTTAACTTGTTGGACTGGACTAAAGAGACCTGGGTTTTATTCAAATTTAATGGTTCTCAGGCTTCTTATTTGTAAAGTGAGTGTTTTGATGGTTTCTAAACTCTCTTCTGTTTTTTAACCTATATAGGAATGCTGGTATTTATGTGTTGCAGAGCAAGAAAAACACCTAACTGTTCTCAACAGATATCAGTAAAATTATCACCAAAAAGATATGAAATACCACATGCATTTGAAATACCACATATGAAATACCATATGCGAGTTGCCTAAATGGATTAAATAATTATCAATAAACATATATGCAATGATATTGTATATGGTATGGCAATTGCATTGGTATACTAGAGGTTAATGAAAACAGAAATAAAAACTGGATAGAATAAAATTATTTGAATTTTAGTTATGTCTAACCCTTACACAACTTCCTGACATTTGAACATAAGAACTGAGAGGCAGATGGAATGATTCTCATTTAAGCAAAGTCCAGAGCAAGGAGAACAGGCTGCCCATTATTGCCTTCCGGAATGTTTTTCCAGGCGTAAATGTATGCACTGTAAATTAATAGCATTCTCCCTTACCAAAAGAAATATGGGCTTATTTTTTTCCATGTACCATCTAGCATAAATATAATACTCATTAAAGGATGAATAATAATGAAGCTCCACCGGGTGGTTTAATTTTAGGAAGCATTAATGTTAAAGATGGACCCAAAAGCAGATTCTGTGAGATTTAGAATACAAAGCAATTATTCTTAAAACCTAAAACAATTGCTGAAATTAATATGATATGAATACACAGAGACCCTGAAAAAAGCAATCCTAGCTGCTCCTTMTGTTTCATTAAAGCACACAAACTCATGCATATATACACACACAATTTCTCAGTTTGGGCTCTCTGAAAGCTATGTGGTCTCTAATTCTATTCATGATTTGTTTTCCTCCACTTTCTTTTCGGGGGGTTCATATAGTATTTATCTCACACATTTTCCTAACACTAGAACATATAATCTATGGTTAACAGTGCTGCTTATCGATTGTATTTTACTGATGTGAAAGATTATTGAAATCCTACACCAAAGAGTTTACCATCAATTTCCTTTCTTTTGAACTGCTTAGAGCCCTTATAATTGCTTGGCTTTTGAACTGAAGTGCCCAACACCTTTTAGGAACTCTCTCCACACAAACACCAGCCTTTAAATAAGAGAGGTTAATAGATAGGGTGCACATGCACACACTCCCTGCTCATGTTTCTGAAAAGGAAACCAAATAAGCCCCAAAGAACATGAGCACTAAGTGGCTTAAAAGCAGCAGTTTCACTTAAGAAGTTTCTACTTTGTCTGCTTTGGATATGTTTTTCAATTGTGCTGGAAGAAATGGTAGCACTGTTACAAATGCAAAGATGATCACAGATATGCAGAAAACACCTGCAGTTGTCTGGGCAACCAAGAAGAGAACACTGAGGCAGTGAAACCAGAGAGGCCGGTCAGCCAAGACTGCAGTGGGATCKCACTATTGTACTATGGGAGCTGAGCACAGAGTCACAAGGTGCAGGAGAAGGCCAATGGCCTCATTTGCCAGCATTAGAGTTAAATGATTGATTTGGAAAAATAATGTACAATCTCAGGCACACTGTAGATCATAGAATACATGGAAGACCTTTTCTCTAAGGAAAGGATAGGCAGTTCCTCCATGTACATGCTTGCAGTTAGGCAAAGAAAGGTTATTAGATAATCGCCACCCAGTTAATAGAAGAGCACTGAAATTAACTACAATGTTCCTTCCCCTCAAAATGCTTTTGCTCACAACAAGAATACCTAGACCTAGGGATTTTAAATGCATTACTTTTGATTTCATGGATTTTACTTAGGTAGTGAGAGCTAAGTATCTATAACTTGAATTTCTTTTTACGTTTCCTATCAGTTTCATATAAAGAGTGACCCTAAAGATCACCCATATTCTCTCCAAGGCAGAGCCTGTTATTCACACAATGTCCAGCTTCTCTCAGAAGAACTCCAAGGGTTATTCCCTTTATTTCTTATGTTCTCTCTATTAGCTTCTAGGTGTACCTGGATGTAAGGAAATGCTGTACAGGCCAAATGTTCCTTTCTCTAGATAGCTCATAAGGACCTGGATAAATTTGCATTAGAAATTCAATTAACTTTACATTAAAAGGTCAATTAACTGGGTCATGATAGAGATTGTTTTTAATTACTTTTTCTTTTAGGGCTTCTCATTCTGTCCAAGCACAAGTGACACTATCAAGTCATAGTCTCCTTGCCTGTTGGTTGCCTGAAATTCATATGCAAAACACACTGGAAATGACTGTCTTGGTTAACTTAATTAATAGGACACTCTTTGGGCAATTCATCAGGCTTACAGTATCATATAATCTTCCCGGCTTATCGTATCAGTAAGCAATAATGGAGTATTTTAGCTTAAATGCTCTCTATAGTATTGTCTATAACAATATCCTTCATTTGTCCTTGTTGGTTTCTGTTTTCTTGGTGAAAGATGATAACAAAGTAAAATGATTTTAAGGATTTGTCCTTATTAGATTATATCACAGTGCATTTTGTGAAAAAATGAACCAATAAAGTTATCAAAAAGTAGTCACTCCATCTTGCTAGAGGGCTCTGGGTTTTCTTTGTGTTAACATAGGCCCAAATTCAACTCATTCATGTGTCACTGGAACCCATGTACTCCGGAGATTACCACTTAGCAGTAAGTAACAATTGTAAGTATAGTATCAGTATTACCAAGTGGTAACCATTACCAAGCCAGTGCTCCAATAAAAGAAAACAGTATCTAAATAAAAGATATATATATATATATATATATATATATATATATAATATATAACATATTTAATATTAACATATTAACTCAAACTTTCATATGACTAGTAACTTAAAAATAAAGCAAATACTACTTGGGAATTGGTAAGAGGCAAAGTCATGAGTTAAAGTTTGTTTTATTTTTGCAGAAGGGAACAGCCCTTGCCTTATAGGAACAACAATATGCTAAGCACTTTATAAACATTTTAACTATACTATTCTCGCTACAATCCTATGAGATAAAATCCATTATTCTCATTTTACTGATGAGAAAACTGCAGCTTTTGTCTCAGCCTAGAACATACAAATCATTAGGGGCCATTAGAAATGACATCACGTCTATCTGCCTTTCCAGAGTTCACATTTTTGCACTAGCTCCAAGAATAGTGGGACCATATTTAAAAGGTTTGGGGAGTGTTTCAAATGCTTAGAAGGCAGCTTTGAAACTCAACCAGAAAAAGGGAGTGGTTTAGGCTAATGCAACTTGAAAAGTAGGGTCACAACAGTGTAAATGAACTACACCACCAAGCACTTATTCCTCCTAGTGAGGCTTTCTGAATGAAGGCAGCTATGCATCAATAACTCTCCTTCTGTTGAACAATTCTAATTCACTCCGGGATGAACCACAGCTCATATACCAGTGACCAATGCATGGACCAGGCTTCCAGTGGCACAAACCTAAGAAACTTCATATGAACTTCTTCTTTTCTGTGAAATCATTTTGGATAAAAGTAAACTTCCAAATTATTCTGTTTCCCCATTCGTAAAAAGGATAAGAGAGTCACATCACTTATCCACATTACAGATAGTAATGAAGGTTAATGTCCTAAACTATAAATCTATAGGGGCATTCATCTTAGTTGACATGACATTGCTAGTTTTAATGTGCTGATCTTTTCCAAAAACAAAATAGCTTTTCTAAAGAATAAAAAAGATAGCCATCAAATAGCATGATGTTTACAGTAAAATACAAACTTTTAAAATGTATTATTCATACCTGCACCTCCGCCTATGCTCAGAATCTTAATTTCTGATTTTGCATCTCCAATCCTGAAAAACAAAGAAAAAAAATATGTATTTTACGAAAAACGTGCAAGGTGCTTTGTAAAATCTGATTACCAAGTCTATTTGAAGAAAATAGACTAAAAATACAATAAACAGAAACTGGGTTAACATGAAAGGTCTCAATTATTTCAGTGGTTCTAGTGCCCTCTTTAGAGTGTCTTTGTAAACATACAGATTCCATTCATCAACAGTCTTGACCTGGGAGACTTAAACACAGCTCTAGGAACATTGTAAAGGTATGACATACCATTTGCTTGAAGATTGTTTGGAGAACAAGAAAAAATAAATGAGGACCTTTGAGTCCAGTGACGTGATCAGCCCTTCAGGGTATATAGGGCAAAGGACAGGAGGTTCACCCTATGTCTGTGATATCTGCTGTCTTCCTGTCCTTCCCACCTTCATTTTGTTTTGTTTTGCTTTTGGTACCAAGGATTTAACTACTGAGCCACATCCCAGTCCATTTTATTTTTTATTTTGAGACAGTGTCTTGCTCTGTTGCTTAGGACCTTGCAAAGTTGCTGAGGTTGGTTATGAACTTGGAATCTTCCTTCTTCAGCCTCCCGAGCAGCTGGGATTACAGGTGTGCACTACTATGCCCAGCTTCCCACCTTTCTTTCAATAAACAATGTCTATTATGCATTTCTTATGTATGTAGCCTTAGATTCTGAGGTTCAAAAATGAGTAAGATACTACTTGGCTCTCAGTTTGAAATGTGAGATAACAAAGCCCTGAAACAGAGAAGAACTAGAAACAGAGAAGAATAGATGAACTGGCAAGTAAGTTAGTAGCATCTGCTTGTAGATGGATAGAAAGGGGTCAGGGAAAAAAAAATATAAGTGTACAATGACTGTCATGTTTCTGTGGGTAAAGGGTGGCAGAGAATATAGTTTGACACAGCAAGTTTACCTTTTGTCAGTTCTTTTATTTTTCAAGAAATCTGAATTCAGAAGATACTTGGACATGCAAAATTAACTGTGTAGGAGAGGGTCAGGCATCAATGACACATTCTGGAAAATAATCATCATAAGGTAATGGCCAAGCAGGAGAGTGCACTCCACCACCCCAAAATGTTGCCAAGCGAGAAGAGCAGAGGGATGATGATGATGTAGCACCCAACTTTTAAAAGTCACTGAATTATAAGGAAGACACAATGGAGATAGGGAAAGAGAGTGACAAAGCTCAGAGGTGCAAGGGGAATGAGACAGAGACAGCCACCAGCAGTGTCAAAGAAATAACAAAGGAGAATACGAACATTGGATTTGGCAATATGAATGGGTTTGATAACAACAGGCTTAAAAGAAAGTTAAGGCCAAACCTCAGATGAAAGAGTGAGAAGAGAAGAGGTGACAAGTAGAAGGAAAACATGTTTGTGTTTGTGTAACAGTGGGCCATTTTATGATCTGAACATAGCCCTTGCTGCTCTGCCACTGGGACTTATTTTTTTAAATGGACATGTTTCTTTTCCTCTGTCCATGCTCCTCCTTAATCTCTACCCCTCCCTAATCTCAGGGAAACTGTATTACCTTTCCTCTCCATCCTCAATAAATTTATCTGTCCCTGAGTACACACCAGCTGTAGGAACAAAGTAATCTAGATGTTGGGGAAGGTGCCAGAAGATCTCAGAAATGACTATCTTCCAAATTAACAAGTGAATTACAATTCCAACAGAGAACATGCAGAAGGTAGCCTTTGAATCAAGGCTTTAGAAGCCTCCTGTTCCAGGCTGGGGCCGTAGCTCAGTGGCAGAGGGCTTGCCTAGCATGTGTAAGGAACTGGGTTTGATCCTTAGCACCACATAAAAATAAACAAATAAAATAAAGGCATTCTGTACAAACAATAAGTGTTGGAGAGGGTGTGGGGGAAAAGGCACACTCATACATTGCTGATGGGACTGCAAATTGGTTTAGCCAATATGGAAAGCAGTATGGAGATTCCTTGGAAAACTTGGAATGGAACCACCATTTGACCCAGCTATCCCTCTCCTGGGTCTATACCCAAAGGACTTAAAAWCAGCATAACTACAGAGACACCGCCACATCAATGTTTATAGTAGCACAATTCATAATAGCTAAATTGTGGAACCAACCTAGATGCCCTTCAGCAGCTGAATGGATTAAAAAATGTGATATATATACACAATGGAATATTACTCAGCAATAAAAGAGAATAAAATTATGGCATTTGCAGGTAAATGGATGGAGTTGGAGAAGATAATACTAAGTGAAGTTAGCTAATCCCAAAAAAAACAAATGCTGAATGTTTTCTCTGATTTAAGGAGACTGATTCATAGTGGGATAGGGATGGGGAGCATGGGAGGAACAGATGAACTCTAGATAGGGTAAAGGGGTGGGAGGGGAAGGGAGGGAGGAAGGGGTTAGACAATGATGGTGGAATGAGATGGACATCATTATCCAAAGTACATGTATGAAGACCTGAATGGTGTGAAGATATTTTGTATACAACCAGAGATATAAAAAATTGTGCTCTATATGTGTAATATGAATTGTAATGCATTCCACTGTGATATATAACAAGTTAGAATAAAAAAATTAAAAATAAGTAAATAAAGCCATCTGTCCATCTACAACTACAAAATAATAAATAAAATAAAATAAAATAAAAGCTCCCTGTTCCGGCTGAGGGGCAGAATCACAGGCTCTGGGACAGGAGTCCCCAGTGTTTCTCCTTTGCTAGCAAAGTAATACACCTTCTTTTTCATTTTTCTCAAAACCATGTCCTCACTATTGGATTGGTACCAGGGACAAGGTCTGAGCTTTCAGCAACATTTGGACTGTGGGTTGATAAACACCTTTGATACAGCTCAAGGGAAGGAGTCTGCATGGAGCAACAGAATGGGACAGGTAGACCCTGGTTCTGGAAGAAGCAAGGAAGGCTAGAAGGCTAGAGAAAAAGACCGTTCCAATCAACTTCCACGTTATAATCATGAGGCTTAGTATACTCATATTCATCTATCTATATCTTGTGCTCCTTTTTAAAAATGCTTATATATGTGGATAGCACAGGGGGACTATGGAGCAGAGCATCCAGGCTGAAATCCCAGCTTACTGATATGTTACCTTGAGCAACTTATTTGACCTCTCTGTTAAACAAGGTAATAATATCACCTACCTACCTCACAAGGTTGTTAATAATTGTATCTAAGTCATACAGGAGTTGTATAAAATTATTTAATTCATCTAAATCTCTTAGAAATATATTTCTATTTTTCTGTGGCAAGCACTCAACATTTGCTAGCAATTATTGTGATTCTGGACATAGCTAAGTGATTTACATGAATTAACTTTTGGAATCCTCACAACTTACTCCTCTCTGACTAAGATACTATTATTGTCCCATTAAATATATTAAAATGGTAACAAATAATTACTGAACACTTGGTATTATTGAGGCAAACAAACATATGCTTTATATGTAACAACAATAACAAACTTGACTACTGACAATTATATACTATAATCAACCCTTGAACCCTACTCCACCCTCCAACCCCAGAAAAGAAATTGGAGATTAACTCTTTGGGGAAACAAGCAATCTGAGTAGTAAACTTCTATGTACCTGAGGATCTCCCAGGAAAGAACTGAGTCTATATTTAATTACCACTGTGAGCCACTCACTCAATAAACCCTATCCATACATAGACAAATAGGGTACTAACCACTTTTTAGTACCTTATTATTATTGATCATATATACATATAAAATGAAGACTTCTTGGGTAGCTGGTATCTCCCCAAACATGAAAAATAGAAAATAAATTTATGATACAAATCATTTTCAGTAGAGTATTATACCCAATCAAACTATCTATAAAGGATAAACAGAGAGTAAAGGCATTTTTAAACATAAAAATTTCAAAAAGCTTACCACCACTCATTTACCTTTAAAGTTCTTACAACTTTAGCTCAGGTTAAAAAAAAAGGGGGGGGAGGGGGGGAACTAAAGATATCCAGAAAGAAGGGCCTGAAATCCACCAATCCATCATCAGGAAATCAATCAAATACTGAAGAGAAAAAAATTTCTAGAATGTTAAACACATTCCCTCATCAATAGCTATATAGCCAGCCAAAAGCAAATCTTCCCAGACTGCAGAAAAGAACAGAAGGCTCCAGAAAAGATGTTTCCATGGGAAAACTAAACACATTATTTTTAGCAATTGCTGCTTGGGCATCATTGTAGTAATAGAAACATAAAAAACCAAAATCCAGACAATCATTGTCAATTATAGGCAAGACCCAAAGTTACACATGAAAAATAAATGTAATGAGTATAAATATTGTTCAATTATGAATAATATGTAAACAGAAAAAAAATGGTATAGACATTCAAATTATTTAACCAAACAATTGGACATAATAGATGGGAAAAACGTATGTTTAGTTAGTTATTTTAATAGAACAAAATTAAGAAATAAAAGAATTATATGTATTTTAGATTATGAAAAAATCCCATAAGCAACAAAATATTTTGAGGTTTGGAAGTGATTGCTTTTGGAGAGTGGAAAGGATAGAAGACTACGATTTGTTGTTGTTACTATAAGCTTATTAGAACCATCTGACTTTTTAAAATATGAACATGTCTTGTTCTAATAAAAATGTTAAATTCAATAGGCTGAGTCCACACCCAATTAACAGCCAATCAGTGAACCCTACCCTTACATACAAGTGAAGTTCTGAACCACTTTTTAGTGCCTCATAACTTATAAACAACCTCAAGCAAAATCTTTAAAGGCCCTTCAACTAAAGTCAAATTTCAAACATTACTTTCAGGAAAAATTTACTTTCTTAATGAAGGATATTTTTACTCAGGCATTCCTAACTCTATATTGCCATTATAATGAAAATTTAGTTATAACTTTGAAAATTCATCAGCCTTTCAAAAAATTAACTTTCAACATTCCAGTTAGATCTGAATATTCTTTGAAGACAGGGGAGGGGAAGGGGCATCCATCATTGATTATTGATTATGTTATATTGATCCAAGGTACCTCTTCAGAAAAAGTTGTGTGGCTTTAGAAAGCCAAGGATCTGGATAAGCTAAAGAAAAGAATGTGTTCTTGTAGGACTGGAAAAGAATGCAGAAATTAAATCATTATCTTTAATTTTAGAAATGAACAAAAAGACCTAAAGAAATAATGTACAATTAGTTCCTAAATAAGAATTTATCTGTCTTTGCTATCTACTTTGATTTTTATATCACTACTCCATTACATATTAATTTTAATACATTATGTAATACTGTTATTTTTTAGAAGCAGCATTTAAAAAGTAAACTCTGTAATGAAAATTGAATAAAAATTTCCAATAAAATGGAAATAGTAGAATTCTACATACATCCAACAATGTCTGCTCTGATCAGACCGTGATACTGCTGTAGTGAGAGAATGTCAGGCCTGTAATAGAGAAATTAGCAAACAATAAAATATCACATTCCTTTGCTGTCTGCAAATTGGATCCACAGTCAGTCATTTCTTCCCAGTTTTCCATCATTATTTCCTGAAGCAGAGGGAGTTGTAGCAATTCATCCCCAGATAGGTGATTTGATTATCTTTAGCATGTGGAATCTGTTACTCTCATAATGCTTATCAGCTCTGGCACAAATTGAACACATTAATCACACACCAAAAAAAAAAAAAAAAAAAAAGGAGGGGGGAGTCTGGGAGAAAGAAAACTAGTCAGTTCAGTTTCACTGATAATGAGAAAATGCTCTTTTTCAAGGACCACATTGCTAATACTAAGTTGAAAGGAAAAGACAATATTTTGAAGAGTGATAACTATAAGGGACAAAGGAAAATGAATTTAAATGCATATTATTATGAGAACTGAGAGGTACCCACTCAATTCTCAGGAGTCAATGGCATTTTGCAATTATTTGTATTTGATTCTAATGAAAAGAATACTGTATCCCACTTGGGACTTTTTTGAAATGTAAAAATTTGGAGGAGGGCTGAAAAATCTGACTACAAAGATTTGTATCTTATGTTTTCCCATGAACATGGATTTTGTGCCTTCAAAGAGTTAACACTTATCTCTGTGCAGCTGGAAATACAGCACAAATCGGAGCCTTTGAGTGTTTAAAGCAAAGAGAACGTCTAACCAAAGCACTGCAGGAGACAGGCAGGAGAGGGCATGAGGAGAGGCAGAGGGGGAGCTGCTAGGAGCTGCTATCAGCAACTCCCCTTATCCCCGCGCCCAGCCTGTGGGGCTGGGCTCAGCCCATCTATCACTGGCGCACAGTGATCCGAGGCTTGTCCCTTTGACAAAAACGTCCCTTTTTGTTACCTTGCTATTATGCCTGGCAGCTTCTTGTCCATGAATTCCTGCATGCACTGGTGTTCCGTGGAATTGTCGAGAAACCTCCGAAAAGATTCAACATATCTGCTGTGGTCAGAGAACAAGCTCCTCATGGAAGATGCCATATTGGGTTTTCTAAGGAAGATAGGGAGGGAAGCAAGGTTTAACTTCCTCTCCTTCTCTTCCCAGTTCCCTTTTTCTCTCCCCACCCCCAATGTTTTCTTTCCAAAAAAAAAAAAAAAAAAAAAAAGCTAAGCACATTCATTAAGTCAGCATTTGTTCTGTACTTTGTGCCAATACTTTAATCCCTACAGGGTTGCACTTTTTTTTTTTTTTTCATAAGCAATAGAGGAAGTAAAGCAAGGCACTTTGGGCAACAGCTAAAACTTGTTTTAAAACTCCTGAAGTCCAGAAACCCACAAAAGCAGATTGCATTCAAATCACTTCCTGTTTTGTCAGCAGCAGCCCCAGGTTCCAAATGGGAAAGTGGCTGTTTAAGACAACAAAACAGGCGGATAAACAGGACAGCTACAAGGCTGGACACCACTTTTATAAATCTGGGGCTGCTGAAACCTTTGACAAAAGTCCACCTGCTGCATTTCTTGAAGTGTTGATTGATTTCGGTGTAACTCTGCAAGTCTCTTAACTCAAGGAGGACAATGAGAATTATTAACTAGAAGGTAGCATGAAGCCTTCCATCTTTCCCTCAAAAATCATCTGTTATGGTAATTTCTGAGCCTCTTGCAACTTTGAAGGCTTTTATCCTTGCATTATGGTTGTTTACTATATTGGCCTTTAACTTCCAGGCTCAGTGTGACTGCAAGCTCAAAGTGATCGGAACTTAGTCCCACCTACTTTCTTTTGGTTGCCCAATCAACTTTCCATTTTTTTACCCCTTTTATAAAATTGGTGCATTATAGTTGTACATAATGGTGGGATTCATTGTTACATATTCATATCTGCATGCAATATAGCAACATAATGTACTATATTATATATATATATATATATATATATATACATATAATTTCCCCAGTATTTCTTTTTCTTCCCCTCCTCACTCCCCTTCTTTCCTTTCCTCTACTCTATTGATGCCTCTTTGATTTTCATGAGATTAGTTAAATTAATTTACACAATCAATCAATTGAATTAATATGATCCCCCTAATTAAATTAAAATTCATTTATTTTTTTGAAAGATTAAAAAATATGCTTATGTAATTCCACTATTGAGCTTTTCTCTACTGTCAGATGGACTCCATCGTTTTCATTTTGGGGTAGCTTCACATGTTACTCGTAGTGCTAATGATTCCACTTATGGAGCTCTTCATCTATGGCAGGAATGGTGTGTGATTCTTTTCAAACTTAGCTGAGATTTATTCTTTTCTGTGCCTCCATGAGCTTCCCCACAGTACAGATAAGAAGACTGGATTTCTAAGAAGTTGAGTGATTTGTTCAAGGATACCTATCTAAGAAGTGTCAGGGTTGATGTATAATTCTAGACTGTTAAGTCCTAGGACGAGTACTTTCACAAAAATCTTTATATTTAGCCAGAATCTGCCTGTATGTAACTTCTAGATAGTACTCTTATTTTTGGTTGCTTAAGGAAACACACTGGATTCAATTCCTTCCCCATATGACATTCATTGAAAATTTTTTGCAATTGATTTTTACCACAACCTCGTACCCAGGTGTCTCTCCCAGGGTTTATAATTCTTGCTTTTAGGAAGGTATATCTTTATATAATTCGTTACTCCGGTTTCCTTCTTTGAAAAAATTATAGTTTGTCTGGGTTCCTTTAAAAAAAAAAGTGTGGAGGGGGCGGCATTTGTAAGTAAACACAACATGGCAAAGGCTGCCTAACCAATAGAGGCTACTACTATCTGGGCTTAGTCTGTTGTGTCCCCATGTTCTGCCCAATCCAATTTCTTTAAGACTTTATTAGATGCTTTGCAGAAAATGGGCTATGTAGTCAAATAATTTAGAAAGCATTATGTCAAGTATTTTCCTCTGGGTATTTGTAACATGCATTAGTATATTGAAAGTTCATGTCACCTTTGTCACACGCCCTTGAGCAGATATACTATGTGTCTGTGGCATTTTCTGATTAGTATTAGAGCTACTCAAAAAATAAATAAAAAAATAAATAAAAAGAGAAAGTCTTGTTTTCAGCATGACTTGCATTGGATTAGGCTCCAGTTTCAGTAATTGCAATTTTCTTCAAAATATTTTCACATAGGATATCTGTTTTATAATCTATAAACCATCTGGAATTTTTGTGGGGCTTAAAACTTCTATCTGACTGTTTGGAATTACCAAATCTTGAGAATCCTCTTTTCCCTCCTTTTTGAAAATCGGAGCAATAAGCTAACATATCTAGCATTTGCAACAACTTCTCAAAGGTTACTGGCAGTGGTATCACTTTTGTTTTTTCAAGTTTTACCAGCATACTGGGATGTAAGTCTTCCTAATGCTAAAATATTGTCTAATTTAAGAGTCTTTTTTATTTTCTTACCTATTTGGAGTTTCCATCCTCTGTATTATATATGTATTACGCTGTCATGCATTATCTCATTTAATGCTCCTAAACCTCTGGGGTTAGAACTACTATTCAAATGAGACTCAGGGCAGATAAGTTGCACAAAATCCCTGACTCTAAGAGCAACATATGGATTTGAATTCATGTTTGAGTATAAGGCCCACTTCTCTGAATCTTTCCAATATGAAGATTATTTTCCCTGTTAAATAAGGAGGAGCAAGAGGAGTGGAGTAATTCTTTATTCTTCCTATCACCTATTAATAGGATAACATCTGTGCTAGATCAGAACAAACAAAAAAACAAAGGCTTCCCCTTATTTATTCCAGCTCTGGGTGTCTAAACCAAAAAATAAATAAATGAACAAAAGAGAAGGAAAAAAAAACAATAACAAAATCTTCAGGACTCATTTTATTGTACACAGTATCATCCAGATAGCTCCATTCACCTTTAGTCTTCTGAACACTGTTTTTTTTTTTAGTCTGAATATTTATACTTAGTTTTATGCTCATGTTCTAAATAGTATGACATCCATCTGTCTACCTTTTATATATTTCTTCACCTATCTATTCATCAACCTATCTTCTATCCATCTGCCTGTATAGAAGAAAATAGCAAAATTATTAAATTATCTTAATGAAATAATTTTAAAAACTCAAATTTTTTTTTCTTCACAAGAGTGGAGGAGGGAGGTGTTTTCAACAAATTGTCTGTTTTAGTTACTCTGGTGTTTTATTTGAAATTTAATAGGTACATTGACCCAAATTTGGTCTCAAAGCGAGATTTGCAATCATAGTACCTACTATTTTAGAACTGAAACATCACAGGGTATCTAACTAATATGTAAAATTCTTATTTTTGTGTGTATCAGTCAAAATTAAAGTTTAAAAACTGTACTAATAATAATTTTAGAGCTGGATTAGACTGGCAATTTCAGGCAAATAGAATGGACTTCAGCAATCTCCCCCTGCCCCCAATATTTGGCTAACTTTCTCATAGTGTGGAAATAAATCAAGAAGCAAGGAGTCTTGATGTTATACAAGCTTAGTTTCTTAYGATGATGTCAGTGATATAACTGCTATACTTCCTTTGTTTCCATATATAAAAAATTTGAAAAGAAGGTGGGCTAAACAATCTTTGAGATTCTTTGAAGTTCACTATAACCAAAGACTACCCAGTAAATTGTAAAAATATTAACCTAAAGGTAAGTTTCTGGGTAAGTGACCCCTTGGTTTTATTTAAAATGTTATTAGCCAAGTTTTACCAATGTGAATTGATGAAGGTCATGCAGTTGGTAATAATGCCATGCATCTTGTTATTTTTAATGACATAGCTGTTTCAATTTCACTTTATTAATGTAGAATATATAATAGCTTTGTTTCAAGTAACTCAAAATGGAACCAAAATAAAGCTCCCAAATACCCAATCAGCGACATATCAAACCAAATGACTCAGAGGAAATAATTGAGGGATAATTAGTTGAGAAAGAAAAGAGTAACAAAAGATGAACAAATGGTGTTAAAGCTATATAAGAGTAAGTAGTGGGGCTGGGGCTGGGGCTGGGGCTGGGGCTGTAGCTCAGTGGTAGAGCACTTGCCTCGCAGGTATGAGACCCTGAGTTCGATCCTCAGCACCACATAAAAATAAATAAATATATTGTGTCCATCTACAACTAACACACACACACACACACACACACACACAGTAAGTAGTGGTATTCTAAAGAGTAAGTAGTGGGGCTGGGGCTGGGGCTGTAGCTCAGTGGTAGAGCACTTGACTCACAGGTGTGAGACCCCGAGTTCGATCCTCAGCACCACATAAAAATAAATAAATAAAGATATTGTGTCCATCTACAACTAAAACACACACACACACACAGTAAGTAGTGGTATTCTAAAGGCCAAAAGCTATCTGAAATGTAACAAGGAAAGAAAGGAAACAAGGAAGGAACAAGTATGGAGACAAGAAATAGTCTGAGAACTAAGTGCTATTTAATAAGTGAAAACTCTATACACCTGGAAAGGTCTATATTCCCTTCTAGATTAGAAAGTATTTAGATCCTGGATGTTGTTATAAGTGGAAAACTATCAAAGCAAAACAACATTAATAACAACAACAACAACAACAAGCTAAGCCTATGAGTCCATATTACAAACTATGCAAACTTCTCACCCTAAGACTGCCTTAAGAAGTAGGTCTAGTGGTATATTGGGGATCTGTTGCAGGGAAAGGGCTCTGAGAGGAATTTTTATAGACAGGTAATGTAAGCAAACCTCTGTGTTACTTGGTGAAAAGGATGTGCTCACGTACATCCGGGGTGAGAACTCTTTTCTACTCGGGAGACTCTGCCTGTGCATAACCCAAGACTAGAAAGGATACACATATCCACAGAACCCAGAGAGAACTCTGTTTTAAAAGATAAAAGCATAGATTAAGTAGAATTAAGACACAAGTCTCAAGTATACACATTGAGGAAGTTTGATATATGAATATACCCATATAAACACCACTCAGATAAAAATGGAAACAAGTATTTCCAGTTTTATAGAAAATTAACTCTTGCTTTCAAAATATAGTAACTACCTCCACTTCATAGATAA